CATCCCCACCCACCACCATCACCATCTCTAGGAGAAAGAGAAAAGAAGGGGGAGAAAGATGAGAAGAAAATTAAGCACAAATTTAACACAGATTTACCATAGATCCACCGCCAACTCAGCTCCCACCACCGATGTTTAGTCTATCATCGCCATGTAGTCCATTCACTGTCACCTCATCCTCATAGATCTAGCACAGATATAAAAGAAAAAGAAGAAGAAGAAGGGGGAGAAAGAAAAGAAGGCATATGAAAAGAAAGGGGGGTGGGGGGAGAAAGAAGATGAGGATGAGAAAAAAAACAAAAAGAAGTGAAGAAGAAGAATCGAAGAGGAGGAGGAGAAGAATCGGCAGAGGAGAAGAAAATCGGCAGAGGAGGAGAAGAAGAAGAGGGGAGTTGGGGAAGTGAGATAGAGATGAGAAAAAGGGGAGAGAAAGCAAAAAAAGAAAAAGAGATTTAACAAGAGGGGTAGTTTAGGAAGAATTGGGATGAAAAGGTAGAATAGGAAGATTTTTTTCGGACGGGAAAAAAGGTAGAATAGGAAGATTATTCTTGGACGGAGGGAGTAGCTTTTTAATCACTTTTTTACATTCTATTATTTTTATTTTATTTTTCCTAACCCAAGTTATCAGATATCTTATTTTTGGAAAAAAGTGTAGCAAAAGGCCAAATTGAAGATCAAGTTTGAAAAAAAGATTGAATTTGGGCCGAAGCCCAAACCCATCAACAACAAAACCCATCCCAACATCTTCTCTTCTGATTTCATTCAACGCGTGAAGAAAAGATTGGGATCTGCGACTTCCTCTTCAAACGCAAGAACGCATAAACACGCTCCAACGTCTCTCCTTCTTCTACGCTCTTCACTCAATTCTCCAACGGAAGAATGCCAACGGGAAGAATCCTCTTGCTATAAATGGGAGAGGAATTGCAATCGAAAAAGGGAGGAAATTCACACGAGAGAATAAAGCAGCGGCCAAGCTGCTGCTATGGCGGACGGCCGGCAGACGCGAACCGGCGGCGGAAAAAGCTCCGGCGAGCGGTGGGCAGTCTCCTCCAGCTCCATTTTCTTCATCTTCTTATCTTCTTCAACAATTTGGTAACCTTTATTTGTCAATTTCTTTTTCTTCTCCAATTTCTTTGTAAAAGTGTTGTTTCAATTCAATTTTACATTTTTTGTTTGTTGTGTTTGTTCCAAATATTCCAAAAATGGTTGGTGTTCTTTATGGGTTTTTTATGTTTATATTAAATCCCTTATGAATGAGAATTGATTCATACTAGTTTTTCATCAATTATTGAGCAAGTTGTTGTTGAATTGGTTGAATTGTATAATTTGATTTCATAAGTAGGTTGGTATGTAGAATTCGGTTTTTGTTGAAGCTATTTTAGCTCCATAAGGTAGTTAAATGAACTCCGAATTCATACGTGAATCTTTTTTGTGATTTGTGTTTGTTGATTTTAAGAATTTTGGACTTCTTAGCCCCATAAGTTGATTCATTATGCTTAGAATTCGTTATTAAGTGATTGTGTATGTTTTCTTGTATGTTTGTTCGTTATTTTCATAAAATTAAGGTTGTTTAAGCTCAAAAACAATTCTTGATTTATTGAAAATATGTTGTGTTCATCAATGTGAATCGAAAAAACGTCATTGGTTTAAGAAGTTCATGGAAATCTATGAAATGTGCTCATCATTAGGAGAAAAAGTTTATTAAAATACATAAGGTATTGGCGGTTTGTGAATAGATTATGTATGAGAGTTGAATGCATAATAGATTCTCTCTTTTATAAATTTTTTCTATAGTAGAAGTATGTTCTCTTGCTTGAATAGAGAGTTGGGGTTCTAAGGTATATTTCAAAATGGGCCTTTGAATTGCATGACTCCGGGCCGTGTGGAGAGTTGACAATCCTCCATATCGTGGTTAAGGAAATGAATCGACTTGGCCTTTGATTGATTTTTTTCTATTCTTAAGTGCGTAAGTTACGTAATATATTGTCTACGTGCCTATTATACGTGTAATGTTCAACTTGTGTTTGTTCTCTTTTTCATTTTGTTTCGGGTTCTTGGCGGTGTTTCTTGGGCTACCTTGTTGGAGTAGTTGATTATCTTTTGAGCTTGTTTTCCCCCATTTTATCAAAAAAACCAAAAAAAAATAAGAAAATATAAAAACAAAAAAATATTTACTTTTTATTCAAACCCCCCTTTTTTGTGTTGTGTTTAAGTTATATTATAAGTTCTCTATTTATATAAGTTATATTTATAAGTTTTTATATTTATTTAGTTATAAGTTTTATACGTCTTATCATACGTGTACTAGTTAGTTTGCTTTTATTTGTTTTATTTTCGTGACAACGTGTTTGCATGCTAATTTGATTTCAAAAGTACAAACTTTCTCCGTGGGATCGACCCTTACTTGCCCTAGCTATAGTTTTTATTTGATTATATCTTGGGGGTTAGCTAAGGATATTTTATAAATTTTTAATTTGTTTTGGACCGCACGACAAGTCTTCAACATAGTTTCAGGTTACTGTTCATCTTCTTCAACCTTCGGTCCATTTTTCGGAAATACCATTTTTAGTTACCGAACTTCAACGAAACTATATAGAGATGTTCTCCAAGGTTCATAGATCATTTTGGCATCATTAATTCATAGTTTTAACATCAATTTAATGGTTTATGATTATTGGTTCTTCAAGCATGTCAAACACAAAACTCAACCAAACGACCGTTTATGAACGTAGAAACGATCTATACGAACATTCTAGTCACTAGATATATCTACGGGCTTACCTCGAACTTAAATGGAGGTTTTAGAAATTTTATGGCGAAACTTCCGGCAACGATAATTCTCAACTCCGGCGACCTCAAGCTTTCTGGGCAACACCAATGAGTTCTCCACTCAACAAGGAACACACTGATATTAATTTTGGCAAGTTTGGTGAGAAAATGGGAAGAAAAGATGTCTTTATATAGGAGGAGAAGGAGGATGCTGCCAATGAGCTGAGTCACTTGTGTTTCACGATCGGCGTAGTGGAGAAGGTGGCGCTGTCTGTACAGTTCCCTGATTGGGACCAATTTTGGTTCCAATCGGGGTACACTTTGTGGTCCAACTTTCTCCGAATTGAATTCCGTTTGCACCGTTGTGATTGGGCAGTTAACTCTATCCAACGATCTAATTTTTAAATTTATTTGTAATACTTTTTCCGACATCATATTTTTGGGTGTTTGACTTTGACAGAGTCAAAATTGGTTTATTTGACCTTTTATTCAAAAAAGATTCTCACATTTAGTTCACCTCATTTGTTCTCGTGATTTATTTCAATAAATCGTTACAAAGTTCGCATCATAATTAATTTCTTCATTTATTCTTGATTTGGGTCTGTACTCAGGTTCCCAATCAAGACCACACAAATAGTCAACATGTTGGATTTATCTCTATGAGACTTTATCCATATTTTGATATTGGATATTAAAACATATTTCATATTGGTCCAAAGCCCAACAATAATTTATTTTAATCAAAACAAGTTTGATTAATTGATTATTTATTCATTAATAATTCTAGGGTATGTTTTGGGGCGTTACACTTCATCTTAAAAAAATCCCCTAAATAAAGGTGTAAGGCGCCAAGAAATAAATGCTTTTGCCTTCGCTAGGACTTAAACCTGACTCGGTGAGCTTTCCGTGAAGCCTGCATATTTGATCCAAATTTTTGTATATTAAGACCATACGACTATGCCTAACGTAATTTTGTTAAGATATTGTATTGAGACCATACTATGCCTTGAGACCTCTACATCAAACGTGTCCAAATTCAACCACACCCACAAGAGTTCCAAATGTGTCTAAAGACCCATACCTAGGTTGTCCGGGGTGTCAATTCACCAAAGTTTGGATCATATATGCTTAACGTACTTTTGTTAAAATATTGTATTGAGACCATACTATGCCTCGAGATCTCCACATCAAATGTGTCCAAATTCGACCAAATCACCCACAATAGTTCCAAATATTTCTAAAGAGTCCTACCTTGTTCGAGCTGTCAATTCACCAAAGTTTGGATCATATGTTCTTAATGTACTTTTGTTAAGATATTGTATTAAGACCATACTATGCCTCGAGACCTTCACACCAAACGTGTCCAAATTTGACCAAATCACCCAAAATAGTTCCAAATATGCCTAAAGAGTCATACCTTGTCCGGGGTGTCAATTAATAAAAGCTTGGATCATATGTGCTTAACGTCCTATGCTCAAAATTTTGAAACATGGACCATATCACATTTGAAAGAAACATAATTAAGGAATATTTAAAAATCAGAAAGAAAACTATAAACTAACTAATTTATTATTTTAATAATTTACATTGATTCTATAACGATGACTAAAATGTACTTTGAGAGCAATGCCCTTTTTAACGAATTGTGAGATTAAATAAACTTTTTTTTATTGAGATGATGATGATGGTAATGTTGTGTTGTTCATGATGATGATAATGATGATGATGATAATAATAGTATAATAATAACAACAACAACAATAATAATATGAATGATTATTGTTATAATTAAGCTAGCTATGTAATCTTACACCACTCGAATTGGTGCAAGTCTGTAAGATAGTTACACCAATCCAAATGGTGTAAGTGTGTAAGATAGTTACACCAAATGATCCAAAATAAATGAACATAGGACAGGCGACCTCCCAAATTAATTATGAAGAAATAGACCTATTGAAGGGCCGTGACAACCTGCAAACAATCTGTAAAGAGTCGAACCACACGAACCCGGCCCTCTCTAGCAGCCTTCAACCAAGACAACGCCTCCCAACAAGCCATTGCCTCTGCAAGAAGTGGGTCTTGGAAACACTCAATATATACTTGCGTTGATGGCAGCCTTAAAAGGAAGAACCAGCACCCTGAAAGACGACGCACCCAAATCCAACCCTCTCAATCTGAGGAAAGATAGCCGCGCGCCGCATCTCAAAAACATACTTCCTCATTCGAGTGCACTAGGGACGACAGTGATGAATCTTCTTGGCCCAAATTGGAAACACCAAAAAAGCTCCTTTGGCTTTTTGGGCATGCATCATGGATCTTCCATAGTCTTCCCTAATTAGATAAAGTTGAAATATTATATTTTGTTGTCTCTCCCTAAGTCCAGAGAACAATAGACCTCGGGCTGCTAAAATGCTTCGCCAAAATGACTAGGGGAGGAGCCAAGCGTACGTTGCCTCGAAGAAAGAAGTTGTCGGAAAGTATCTTCCTTTGAATAAACACACGCGAAGCCAACGCATCCGGTTTTGTGATAAAACGCCAACCTTGCTTCCCCAAGAGTGCCACACTGAAAGCCCATTCCACCAAATTTCTTTGGACTCCACATACGGTCCCATGCACACCAATGAATCCCTCCTTTGCGATCCCCCTTGATAGACCACCAAAGGGCATTCATCGCTCGTTCAATGTCCTTGTAGATTTGTTTTGGTAAAAGAAAGATGCTCATGGCATACTGAGGCATAGCCCCTGATCGAGCTACTATCTTTAATAAATCCTCCTCCTTCCCTACCTTTGATAAAAGTTTTTTATTCCAAGCACCAAGCCAAAACCACTTTGTCAGTAATATGATACTCCCTCCTGTTAGAGTATCATTCCACATCGAAAGTTCAAGAGCAAAATAATCGGTATAATAAGCTCTTGAGTTGAACTAACTAATCAATTGGATTCAATCTTTTAATGTGGTTCAACCCATGTGTTTTATCATCCAATTCAGTGAACCCTACCCAATCCTAAATTTTATCATGGTATCAGAGCAGGTTTTGGCCCACCTCGTTCGTCAAGATGTCCGTCTAGACGTTCTTTCCTATCGGCCCGTTACTCCGTTAGTCTTTAGCCCAGTTGTCTGTATGGAGTATGTACCCAACGGCTTGTGGCCCGTTTAACATGATTGCACATCTGGAAGTCCACACCCAGTGGCTCGTGATTCTTTAGGTGTTGGCGCTCAAAAAAATCAAGAGAATGAGAGTTTATTTGCAAGTGGTCAACCGGTTAGATTCAAAATGGCCCGGTTGTCCACTTGAGGGGGAGTGTTAGAGTGTCATCCCACATCGGAAGTTCAAGAGCAAAATAATCGGTATATAAGCTCTTGAGTTGAACTAACTAATTGATTGGATTCAATTTTTTAATGTGGTTCAACCTAAGTGTCTTATTATCCAATTCAGTGATTCCTACCCAATCCTAAATTTTATCACCTCCCTCCCACAAAATCCTTGTCCTTCCATTTTTTATCCGTCCCAAAAAACTCCTCTTTTCTATTAAAAAATCACTTTTATCCCTATTAATTTTTTAAACTACCTATCACATCACACCTTTCTCTGTTAATATATTAATCGCATCAAAGGGCATTTTTGGAAAGTTAACACCAAAATATACTTTTTTTAAATTCTTTAAAAGTCAAAATAGGAAGTTTTTTGCGGGAGAGGAGTAACAATTATTATTATCATTACTTCATGTTACTCTGTATTATACGTGTAATAATAATAAGAGAAGAAAATTATTAGAGTGACAAACAAAAATAACACAAACTTGACAACTAATCATTTGTGAATTTAAATGTTCACTTTTAATTATTCGAAACCACTTGATTTTTGACAAACAACTGATAAAAAAAACTAAATAAACTTGCAAAATTTTATTTGAGATCAACAGTGCACGATACAATGTCATTGCCATCTCAAAAAACCTAACTAAAATCTCTTGAGAATTCGAAGATTTCAAAATAAAAACCTTAGCTTTGAACTTAATAATGGGATGGGATGGAACATATATATATCTCTCATGCTGCAACGGGCGGCCTCGAAAGATTGCTAATAACGGAAATAATATCGTCAATCCATTGCGCCGTGGAACACGAGTCCTTGAGCTGGGGAGGCTCGGGGATGGAATGGTCAGAAAACCCCCGGTCGCAACCTTGCACAAAGCCCGCGGCCGTAGAGGCTTGGATGTTGACCCCAACGAGGTCTCCTGACCTCCACGACCCCGAGCACTCCTCCAGATTCATTATGGAGTGCCCTAAGGAGTCCACGCACGCAGAGAGCGGGGACTTCTGTCTGGGGTCAGTGACCTTGCTCAGAAGCAACTGGGCAAGGCTAAGTCCCGACTTGACTTCATTTGTCATGGCGTCGATCGTGACGAACCCTAGGGTTTTGAGATCCGCGTTCTTGGAACGCGGGTCCGCTCTAAGGACTTTCAGGCACAGAGAGTGCTGTTGCGCTTTCGCGCAGACGTCGTCTACGGGATCTCCGTGGACGTTGGTGAAGGAGAAGAGAGGAAGAAGAAGGATACCAAAGAAGATTGTGATGATATTAGTATGATGGAAGGCCATATTGTGTAACTGAGGATTTAATTAACTTTTTTCAATGTGATATTAGACTAAAATCTTACACTCTATTTATAGTTGCAAATAAAACTGCATGTAATCTTCGCTCTTAATACACTTTATTCGCACATAAATTTTTACTTCGTATTTAATTTTTGAAAAAATAAATTTAAAAAAATATTTAATCCAGTAATAAGCAAAGTTTAAACTACACGGTACATTTTAAAATAAATGTAATTAATTTGAATTCACCCTATAATTAATTCATTATATTTAATACTCCAAATCAACTTTGCACTTTCCATTTTTAGCCGTTCAAAACTCACCTTTTCAATTATTCACCCTCCACGAAATAAATATATGTACACTTTTATTATTCTATCTATTTTAATTCAGAAAAATTTCAACAATATTTTTTTTTTACTTTCCACCAAATTAATAACTTATAGTATTCAACATTTTTTAAAATATCGTCACGTCAAAGTGTCACATTAATTAATTACTGTAAATCATTGTGAAAATTATGCAAAAGACAAAACAAATATTGTGAATCGCTAATTTCATACATCCATATTAAATGAGAAATTCTTTTGACGAAAAAAGGAAGTCATTAGGAAAGTATAAACTCTTACCAAATTATTATTCAAACAATACAATGTATAGTACTCTATTTAGAAATAAAGAAAGGAAATGTATGTTAAGAAATCTCCGTTTTTTATGCATATAATTAAGACGAGGTAATGCGCCACACAATTTATATTTTAAAAAAGGGAAAACCCCCACTTTGTTTTCTTGCCTAAATGGTCTTCACTCACAAATGGTAATTGCTAAACTTGAATAGGTAAGTGCTTAATGTCAACTCGGCATTAAAAGGTAATTAATTGTTTTGATTTAACACGGTACCGTGTGTAATGAATTAATAAACACATTTGAAATTGATTAAGATGTAACGTGTGTAATAAAATAAAATTTTGAAATGGTAAGTAACACCAAAAGGGTGTGTAATAAATTACAATGTTGAAATGGTAAGAAACACCAAAAACGCAATTTATATTTATAAATTAATATGTAATTGAAAACACAGAAATGGCAAGTAACACCAAAAAAGTGTGTAATAAAATAAAATATTGAAATGGTAAGTAACACCAAAAACGTAATTCATATTTATAATTAAGATTAAAAAACACGGAAGTAGTAAGTAATGTAAAAAAGGTGTGTAATAAAATGAAATATTGAAATGGTAAGTAATTAACACCAAAAACGTAATTAATATAAATTTACAAATTGGGATGCAACGTGTGTATAAAAAGGTAATAAAAAGTATATTAAAATTATGATACGGTGTTATAAAAAAATTGATTAACAGGGTACCGCGTTTCATTTTAACTTCATACGTACTTTAAATAAAATTATTTTAAATAAAATAATTACTTTATACACGGTTTTGGTAAGAATGAATAACAAATATACTATAAGTACCTATCATATAAGTAAAATGATTTCCTTATTTCATTACGTGTGTAAGAAAAAAAAATTGAAATGGTAAGTATAACAGAAAAGGTGTGTAATGATTTAAAATGTTGAAATGGTTAGTAACACAAAAAACGTAATGTATATTTATAAATTAAGATGTAACGTGTCTATAAAAATGATAACTAAATGTTGAAAAAAATTAACCGCTATAAGGAATAGAATACACAAAAAATTGTCTTATACACATTGTAATTAAAAAAATCTAATAATAAAATTAGAATAAGCAAAAAACTTTTCATAGTATAAACAAGGTCAACTGTAAACACTTTTGCAACTGTATGTTCAGTTTCAAGAATAACAAATTGTAGTGGCTTGAAGATTCTGATATGCAACGAAAACAATATTCCCACGAATTGTATGAATAATGTAGTTTATAAAAAAGTCTTTTAAAATTATTAAAGCAAAACCACAAATTGTACCTTAAAATAATAAAATCTCTATATTCTATTAATTAGATACTTCCTCCATCCATAAATAGATTACAAATTGCGGGTTACGAAGTAAAATTTTCTACTTTTTAAAATCATTTTATTTACGAATTGGTATATCAATAAAATATAAAAATTACATATTAAAAAACTACATCAAAAGTTTTACAAAACAAGAGGTAACAAAAATATTTTATTTTATCAAATACTTAATGAAATCGTGTAAACAAACAAAAGTTATCGAGAGGAGAGAAAAAAATTGTAATCTATTTAGGGACGGAGGAAGTATCATTTTCTATCATTAAAAAATAATCTTAATTTAGTAACGTAAATATGACTCTTGCAACGCACGTGTGTGATACTAGTTACTTGTAAACATGAAATTGAAAGGATGCATACTTTTTTAAAGGAAAGTTGTAAATATTTCTCATGAAGAAATCACCCTAAATAGGAGTAAAACATAGAGAAAGTACTAAAATAGAAGTTTAATATTTTTATTCTCTAAATAAAGGTTTCCACTGTTGTAATGTGGCACTGTACATGTGCACTTTACAATACTTTTTGGTAATATACATTGTCATGATTGGTGATGTAAATGCATTTTAACTCTTATTTCAAGAATACAAATATGGAATTTCTATTTTGTTATATTTTCAATATTTTACTCATACTTTAATCTTTTTTCCCATTACTCATTCATATCGAGTGTTCATTGTAATGAAGGACCCTCTCGCATTGATTAAAAAGAATTAAAAAAATCATCTCAAATAGGAGTTAAACATAATATTTATCTCCAAAATAGTAGTTTAATGTTTTAGCTTCAAAATAGAAGTTTGCACTGTGACATTATGACATTATATAGTGACATCTCACAATATTTTTTTGGTGCTACATATTGTCATTAATGACAATGTAATACTATTTTAGAGATAAAAAATATGGAGTTTTTTTATATTTAATTTCTCCATTTTTACTCCTAGTTTAGTCTTTTCTCATAAAATAATTCTTCTCTCTAGTATTATTAAAAACATAAAAATACGGAGTATGGATTAGTGATCTTATATACAAACATATTAATTTAAAAAACGTTAGAAATACAATGGTTCTTCTCTCGTGCCATAAATTAAAAAATATTAATAAAATGAAAATATTAGCAGTCTTATGATCTCGAAGTGAAATTTATGGAGAATATTCAAAAGTTTTTTATTCAGTTATTTTTGCTTTCTTTTTAGATACAGAACTATTCAAGCCCCGTGAAAATATTTGTGTCAATGTTTTATCAAAATATAAAGAGTTGAAATGAGAAATTTTAATTCTCTTTGAATTGTTGTAGGTGAGTCTAAATCTTGTTCACTTCTACACTTTGGATCTTCTCCTCCTTCAACACTTTGATTTTCCTTATCACAATTTTTGTCCATCTCCATCTCTCAAAATAACATCTTATAAAGTTCTAAATATGATTGCATAAACGAAAAAAAGTGTTCCTTGAAATATATTTATTTCCATCTCTAGATATGGTAAATTATTAAGAAATCACCTTAATATGAGTAAAACACAGCACTTATTTTCAAAATGGACACTTTTACAACAATGCACAATGCATTGTCATATCACAATGTTTTTTGGCATTGTATGTTGACATTTTTCGAATTGAAACTTGTATATTGAAACTAAAAACATGGAACTCCTATTTTAGTATTTTTATGTTTTACTTCTGCTTTATTCTTTTTTTTCTAAATTATTACACAATATAAAATTTATAAATTCAAATGTACACCTTTGAAAATGCTAAGTAATAGTATGAATTTATTTTGATTAAAATAGTAATTAAGTCAAATTATCAAGATAAAGTTCAAAAGTCATATTAAATCGAACTTTATCCTAACTTATTTGGTTTAAATTTTTGATAATTTAAAAAAACTAACAACAAATTAAGATTTCTCTTCTATAATTAAAACTAACTTCATTTAAGCATATAAAAAACAATTAAATGAATATAAAATTTATGTAAAATTTGCACTAAATAGGACTAAAACATAATGATTTTCCTAATCTAGGATTTAAACTTTTTTATTCCCTAAATAGGACTTATTAATGTCTTGGCGGGAGGAATAATGTCCAGTAATGATGGACATTTACTTGAACAATGACTAATTCATAATGACCAAAAGTCCTACATTGGGAAATAAAAACATATGGTCCTATATTGGGAAAGTCATTATATTTTAGTCCTATTTAAGTAAATTATTCAAAATTTATTTAGAGATGAATAGAGTGTCATATTTATGCATTGAAAATATTACTTGTTTCACTCTATTTGTGGAGGGAAGTTTTTTACCCTATCTTTCAACTTCCTTTGCATTATATTGTCTTCTCATTTCTTCCCAACTTCTTTCCATCCAAACAATGAATATTTTCAAATTTGAAATTTTAGTTCCCATTTCTATTCCACCCCTCACTTCCTTTCTACTTCTCCTCAAACAAACCCGCCCTTAAGTTCAAATCGCCATTTTTTTTAGATAAGATAGGAGATTTTTTTATCAATGAACTTCTAGACCCTAATACAAGCTCTTTGCTCGGATTAATTGATTCCATGATTATCTAAGTAACAAAATAAATCAGAAGCTAAACGATTATTGTGTGAACTTTTTTTATACATTAGGTTTTTTATTTGCGTCAAACTAATCTTAATTTTTTTAAGAATCCAAGACTTCTTAAAAAAGAGATAGATTATTAGTATAATTAAGATTAATTAATTGTCCTAATTCATTATTCCCCCAAAAATTATTATTTTTCTATACTTAATTTTTATAATAATTCATTAAATAACGTAGTCATGTCAAATCGTATTTGTCATAAAAAAAATCACATCTTAATTTAGATAACAGTTGATGTAGTTTTTTTAAAAATAAATTTCATATCAAAACTTTACACCATTATTTAAACAAATTAAATTAAAATCAAACAAAACAAAACTCATTATTCGTAATAGGACAATAGTTAGTGCATCACTTATCCACATGTGAATTGGCTTGTCACGAAAGAACATTGATCCCTAGAAAAACATTGGTCCCAAAATTGACATGTTAGTGTGAGCCTATCCGGATATGGGTAGGCACTAGCTCTTTAGAAGGGTAGGAACCGTCAATTTCACGAACGGGGCATCGGAGCGCCCCCGAATCATCCCATGACATTAGTTCCCAATGTCATGGGAACCAAGGTGTTTTTAATTAGTTCTTAAGATGGACTAATTATAGAGATCACATTTACTAATTGAAAATAATGTCCAATTTAATTTCCTGATTAACAGTCGCCAAAACGTCATCGAAATTTATACTCCGTACTAATTTTCTAAATTAATCATATATAATTGAATGTTTTTTCAAATTAGTCTATTTTCAATGTAAAAATTTATTTAATAGGAAAAACCAAAACAAGATTCTTCCTTTTTAATTGATTCACAGTATTTAAGCGAAGTCAGGGGACCATTTTTTATGAGATTCTATTTCGAAAAAAATTTGGATATTTTAGAAATTAAGTTTTAATGCCATTTTGATGATTGTTAGTCAGGAAGACTAAATTGGTATTATTTTCAATTAACGAGTACTATCTCAGCAATTAGTTGATCTTAGAAACTAATTTGGAAAAACACATAGTTATTGAGGTAAAATAGCCAGTAACAAAAGATCATATAATGAGGTAAAATAGCCAGTAATAAAAGATCATATAATGAGGTAAACTTTATTAAAAATAGTAAATGGTCATAAAAATAAAAGTCCAATGTAAACCTTCTCAGATATACCAATTTTTATTTGTATCAAAAATATTTAAAAAGCTAGGGACATAAATGCAAACAAAGAAGCCCTCACCATCATCAGGCCTCAAATGAAATGGGTAAGACAAAAAACTATGCAAAGTCATTTTAAAACTCTCAAGAGATGATAATAATATCAAACCAAAAAGAAGAGAAGGGCATCACTTATCTACATGTGAATTGGCTTGTCATAAGTGGCCATGGCAGCTTCTTTGACAGCCTCGCTCATCGTTGGGTGAGCGTGACATGTGCGCGCAATGTCCTCGCTAGACGCCCCATACTGCAAAGCCAGCACCGCCTCGTGAATAAGCTCGCCCGCGTTGGGGGACATGATGTGAACCCCCAGTATCTTGTCGCTCTCCTTCTCAGCAAGAATCTTGACGATTCCCTCGGCGTCATCTATTGCCTTTGCCCTACTATTGGCCATAAATGGGAACTTCCCGACACGATAATCCACCCCGAGTGCCTTCACTTGTTCCTCGGTTTTCCCGACGGATGCCACCTCGGGATGTGTGTAAACAACTCCGGGGACCATGTCATAGTCCACGTGGCCCTCTTTTCCTGCTATGAACTCCGCACAGGCGACACCATCTTCCTCTGCCTTGTGGGCCAACATTGGGCCTGGAATGACATCACCGATTGCATAGACCCCAGGTACTTTAGTGGCAAACCGCTCGTTGACCAAGATTCTGCCGGTTTTGTCCGTTTCAACTCCTATTTTTTCCAGCTGAAGCCCTGAAGTGAATGGAACCCTACCAGCGGAGACAAGAACAACATCAGCTTCTAGAACAGTCTGGGGCCCACCCGCAGCTGGTTCGAGTGTCAACTTAACGCCGTCGCCTGAGCTGTCAACTGAGACCACCTTAGTTTTAAGCATGAATTTCATCTTCTGCTTCTCTAGTGTGCGTTGGAATTGTTTTCGAACTTCGCCATCCATGCTCGGTACAATATCAGATGCAAATTCAACAACTGTGACTTCTGACCCCAAACGGCCCCAGACAGACCCCATTTCAAGGCCAATATACCCGGCTCCAATAACCACTAGCTTCTTAGGAATCTCTTTTAATGCTAAACAGCCAGTCGATGAGACAATTCTTTCCTCATCAATGGTGATTCCAGGAAGACTCTTTACATCAGAACCAGTTGCAATTATAATGTTTTTCCCTTTGACAATAGTTTCACCTCCTTCAATCGTGTCAACTGAAATTTCTGATGGAGAGAGGAACTTACCATAGCCCTTGACATAGTTCACTTTGTTCTTTTTGAACAGACCCTCAATACCTCGTGTAAGGTTAGACACAGCTTTGTCTTTTTGGCCCATCATGGCAGGTAAATCAACCTCAACGGAAGAAAACTTCACACCATGGTGTGCAAATGAATGTACGGCTTCATGATACATGTGTGAGGAGTGCAATAGTGCCTGCATACAACAGGGAAAAAAACAAAGGCCAATAGACATAAATGCCAAACAAAAAAAGGGTAATAAAGGTTTCACCAGCAAATAGGGTAGTTTGCAGTTCCAGTTAGACAGGTAGAATGACATCTCTTTCACAAATTTTTTATTAGAACTTTTACTGATGCTTGTCTAGTAAAATGTTCATTTGGCAACTCCCTTCCCTAAACCCCTCACATGCCCACAGAATTAATTAAGAGAACATGCAACAGCATACCATCACAGAACAGGGAAAAATAAATAAATACTCCCTGCATTCCCAATTAGAGTTCGTGGTTTGACTTGCACGATGATTAAGCATGGATAAACGTGGTGTATAAGTTTGTGGAATTATTTGTCGAGGAGAGAGAAAAAGGTCAAATTCATGTAAAAGGTTAATGAATACATTGTTGATGTGTAGGAGAGAGAATTGCCAAAATAAAAAACATAAACACTAAAATGAACCAAAAAAATATGTACACTAAAATGGAACAACCAGAAAATGACAGAGTGAAGGAGAGTTAAGGAACAAGGAGAGTAATAAATAACAATAGAATATATAGGTTTTTACTTTTTATTAGTGCCCTGTGAGGAGATGCGAGTAGTTGGCGGTAGGGATTTTGAGGTGGGGGTAAAGGGAGACCGAAGAGGAGAGGGGATTATGCAGGACTTATAACTTTTGTAGTTAACTGAGGACATGATATTAGATAGAGGAGTTTGGAAGTCAATGATTAGAGTTGTAGGGTAGGCCTGGTTAGTAGTGCCACTTTGTGTTTAGGGTGTAGGGCTTTCAAAATCAGTTAGATAGAGTAGGGCATGTGCTTTCCTTCCTTTTTCTCCTTCAGTACTGATGTGGTCTTTTACTTTTTCCCTATCTGCCTCTATTATTTGTATCCCTTAACTTCTATCTTCTCTGCTTTTTTCTTTGCTTTGCTTTACTGTTCACCTTTCTCCAACAGGTTTTGGTTTGTTTTCAAAGCCAAAGATCTTTGGAAAACAGCCTTGCTACCATGTTGGATAGGGGTAATGTATGTGTACATCTAACTTTCATTTACTAAGTTGTTGTAAAGAGATTCTCATTGAAAGTATTCATTTACAAACTCATTTCATGTAAAATACATATCTAAGTCGAAGTTACACTCATTTTGTTCAACTTCTTCGTGAATAGTTTATATCTCAGTTTCACTCAAACTTCTGTGCTTTTCTCGTTGTTTGAATAGCACATATATGCATCTAACATCTAACTTCCAGAAGAATGACTCGTTTTCTAGTTTGTATTCCATACGCTGTGGAGTCATATAAGGCAGAAGTTCCATGTACGGTTTTGAATCTGAGGGAAACATATGTTGAATGATTTAGGTAGGGCAGCTTCCCCCATAAGGACACTTGTAGGGATTAGTGTGTGAAACTTTGTTCCACTAACTGACGATTGGGACTCTCATTAACTATATTCCAAGAAGACCAAAGTCTTAAGTTGCACAGAGACAAGGACAGGTACTCAGACAAGGACAGGGTCACGAACAAGGAAAACAAACTTTTCTAAATTTTACAAAAAAAAAAATGGGTGTAAGGATGTCCATAAGCACCCAAACAGGAACGTTAGGGAGGGATGAGATGTGACACATGTTTGAAGAATATTTGCAACATAGCCCAACTCTGCACAAACTAACAAATGTGTCTCACACTAACTATATGCCGTTATGCCAACAAGAACTAACTCTATGAATGACCTTTTACGCATATGGTAGCATCAACTGAGTAGTAGTGTAGTACAATCTATTGACTTACTAAAATTTTCATAGTAATGAAACAAAAAAAGGCGACAACAGATTCAGCTTCTACGGCACAATATCAGAATGTAAAGGAAGTCCACTGCAATGTGTTAAGCTTGAAAATTGAAGCAATTAACAGTTGCAGGAACCTACATATTAATACTATTGAGAGATAATGGGTGAAAAGAAGTTCAAAAAGACATTTATAATCGGCTGTGGCATGTGGGTGTGTTTAAAAAATTTGAGTTCAAATATTTTATTTTAGAATTCAACACATAATAAGATCATATCTGAAAATGGGAATCTGCACCTAATATTAACTGCAACAGTGAAAAAGATTTTTCCAATTCCATCTTAAAAGCTAAAACAAGCTGCAAGTGCAATTCTTTAAAAGCAGTTCTATGCTTTGGAGTTTAGCATTTCAGCTCTGTAACAACATACTCCGTAGTAGTCAGTAGAGTACTATCATTTCCAGCTATGATAGATACTCGTAGCATATACAAACAAGATTAGGCAAAAACAAAAAATCATATGTTTTATAGAGTACTGATTGCAAATCTTGTAGCTTATAAATTCTCTTGTGCATCGAATGCTTTTTTGGGTAACAAAAGCATTTAAATAGTAAAAACATGCGGACGGGATGAAATAATATAGCTTGTTTTATGAAATCCATATTTGAAAAATGAGAAGCTTTGAAATTTTATAAATCCTCAATAACTCAAAATAGAAGTGAAGCGACCCTGGATTTAATGAGAGATTTAATAACACATGAAATATAGATTCTATCAACAATAAACTACTCTAGGTGAAAGTGAAACATTGACTGATTCTATTGAATCAAAAGTTTGTTTGGAAATCTTAACAGTCTTGCTCAAGCATAAAATACTTCTGTAAATTCACGAACATTGAGAAACGTCCAATGAAGCTTCAAAATAATTCAAATAATATAATCGAAAAAAGCAAAATCTGTAGATCTAGGATACTCGTACTCAATGGAGCCTTAATACCGGAAACGAATGCATTAAAAAATACGTATGCATTAAAATTTAAAACTGTAACGCTACCTTAGAAGGAATACAACCGACGTTAAGGCAGGTGCCGCCTAGGGTTCCGCGCTTCTCGATGCAGGTGGTCTTGAGACCGAGCTGAGCCGCCTTGATCGCGGCCACATAGCCACCAGGACCACCTCCGATGACGACGACGTCGTTCTCGTCAGATCCCGAAGCGAAGCCTCTGCTCAAAGAGAAAGTGTAGTACTTTGAGCCGTCGCAGTATAGATTCCTCGACGAAGAGAGAAGAGACGCCGCCTTTCTTCTAGCAATACTCGCCATCGCCATTTTCGCCTTTGAAATTCACGAAAAAATCTCTGAAGAATTTTCTTCTCTTCTTCCTCCTGCTGCTTTAATTAGGTTTTTCTCGTCGATCTCACTTTTTATCGCTCTAATATTTTTATTATACGGAATTGTCCACTGGGAGTGGGTAGACCATAGACTTGGGTAAAGTGAAATTGATCCTGGCCGTGCATCTGCGAACCGTTTTCTACAAAGTAGACTAGGTTCGGTTTGGCAATTTAGTTTTCACCTAAACACCAAAGACAAAATGGTAAATTGGCGGTTTCGTTTGATTTTACACCAAAAAAATATACGGAGTATAAATTATTAGTTCTACGGTTCAGTTTTATGTGGTTTTATTCAGTGTTTTTTTTGTTTTTTGGATTTTAAAAATAAAAATTTATAAACATCAAAAAAGTCGTAACAACACTAACCCGATGAAGCAATTAAAATATGTAGCGTTGGGTTTGGTTTTTTCAATTCGATTTTTACCCAAAACCAAAAACCTAACAACATGTTAGAGTTTGATTTGGTTCAGCTTTAGGTAAAAGAATATGTATCGAGAGCCCAGCAAATATCTAGGAGATTCCAAATACTCCCAAAGTTTTCATATGTAAATGTCAATTGCGAAGAATTTTACGTTTTTGGTATAATACTTTCATTTCCATTATAACATCAAATTTTTTTAATAAATATGTAAATTGCTCGTACCAATTTTTAGTGTTAATATAACTTCATGAGTAAATTCCATAAAAGATTTCCAGTTATAGGCCATTTTACATTTTTAGTTCCTACATATCAAATATTACTAATTTAGTCCCCAATTATTATATTCATTTTCACGAATGGTCTTTTGTTAACATTTCTATTAAGAACGTGGATAAAAATTGTAAATTCATACTCCTTTCTCTCCTCAAAAGCTTCCTCACTCCCCTTGCACTCCTTTCGCAAACCCGTCGCTGAGTTTGAAGCTTTGAACCCAAAATCGAAATCATTACTCTTCTCACAATTGTTTGTCTAACTGGTGGATCCCAAATTCGAAACCAGTAACCTTCATGGATGAGTTTAATGTTTATTTTCTTTACAATTTCTTGAGAATAATCGATAAAACTCATCCATAAAGCTTATTGTTTTTTATTTTAGGTTCCACCAGGAAGACTAATAATTCAGTGAAGAATGATCATTTCAGTTTTGGGTTTAGAACTTCAAACTCAGTGACGAGTTTGGAAAAGAGTACGAGAGAAGGGAGGAAGCTTAATTGAGGAGAGAGAGAAGTATGAATATACAATTTTATCCATGTTCTTAACAAAAACGTTAACAAAGGACCATTCGTGAAAATTGATAAAATAATTGGGGACTAAATTAGTAATATTTGATATGTAGGGACTAAATATGTAAAACGACCTATAACTGAGAACCTTTTATGAAATTTACTCTAACTTCATATTAGAATTAGTTATTGATGTTTAGATTTCCAGGTTTAAAGTTTGTAATATGATTTTAAATATTTAATAATTAAGTAAAAATCACTTTAATTAACTAATCACTTATTTACATTTATATTTTTATGATTTTTTCGCATATCACAGATACTCATATACATAAAGCGAAGTACCTAAGAAAGTTTGGTTTATTTAGTTCGATTTTTCGAAGTGAAAACGAAAAATAAACAATAACGGTTCAGTTTTTTTACATTTGGTTTCAATTTTTCTGCTCAATTTTTTTCTAGCTCATTTTGATCAAATTCGGTTTGATTTGTGGTTTTTGGTTTTCCCAACCCGACCATACTACAAAGTAATCCCTAATGTGAATTATATATCTTGAAATAAAACAATCCCTAATATGAATTAAATAGTCTTTATCTCCCAAAATAATAGTTTTATAATTTATTTTTAAATTAAGAGTGCAAGATTATCCCATAATTCCTTCGGATATTCCACCAACAAGTATTTAGATTTTAAGCTTTCATGAAGATGGCGGCGAAGAAAAATATGGCTTTTGCCTTTTACTAAGATGTTGCTGTATTATTTTTAGCAATTGTATTTTCTAGATCATTTGCTTTAAGGTGAGCAATGGCATCAACCCTCCACTCTAGGTACTTTTGACCTGATAAGTCAAGAATGTCGAATTCTCTCTGATGTTGGTTATGGAATAACTCTGAGAAGAACAAGGTTTCTAGGATTTTGAGCAAATTTGTGCTGATAACGTGTTATAACATGAGAGAAAAATTACTCAAGGATAATAAAGATAAATATCATATATTTCTGATTTCTTTTCTCTATTAACTCTTCACTCTTATTTTTGTTCTTCATGGTGACTACAATGCAAGGATTATGTCTTTATTTATAGTGGAGAGACTTAGTATATATACTAATACAAATGCAATATGAATACATCTACAAGTGGGGGGGACTTTGCATTTTGCTACTACAATTAATATATTATTTAGACATCTAGACTTTTTTTTATTGTCGTCTGTACCTGGCCGGCCAATATCAAACTCAAACTTGACTTAAGTTGGATCAGATTTCAATATACTAGAACCCAATTAAACTCAGGAAAATGCTAGGGTGCCACTACATAGGTGCTACCATGGGTGCACCCATGCTTCGCACAGACAAACACAGACGATAATTGTCTGTGCGACACAGACAATTATCGTCTGTGTTTGTCTGTGCGAAGCATAGGTGCACCCATGGTAGCACCCATATGGTGGCACCCTAGCATGGTCCTTAAACTCAATCTATTGTCATCGTGGGCTTAATGAATAGTGAATTTGTAATGTTTTTTCGTATTTTTTTCTTCTTTTTATTTCTTTCCCCTTGTGAGTCGTTTTGGTCACTCCTTCACAACCTATTCATCTCCTTCAAAATACCGCAGAATTTGGAAACCTTCACTTGCATTACTCGCCGTTTACTCGAGATTATGTCATTGGTGTGGTAGTGGCCGGCTGGCCGTGCCCCATCGTCTAAAAAAATTGGCTCCGAACGCTAGTCTAAAACTCTGATGATGTTTGATTACGCCCTAAAAAAATAAACTTAAGTTGTTAGGAAAACAAGATAAAAAAACCAAAAAAAATAAATTCATACCAATATGAGAATCTCCGGAGGTGTCGATATAGAATTTGGCAAGTGCAACATCCTCCTCTTTCGTCCATCTGGTCATGGCGCGTTTTATAATTTTTGTCGGCACCTTTTTCTCTCTTGTGTTTTCTCTTTGAGGGTGCCAATTCGGAATCAGTGGCGGGTTGGGATATAGAATATGCTTCAAATTGGGTTTCGTTCCCGTATTCGGGTGTGGGTTGGGTGGGTTGGAATGGTGGGGTATGAAAATGGCCCGGTTGGAACTAATTTGGATAATTATATGTAGAATTTGTCTGTGAATTTGAGGAATTTGAATTATTTGGGTTGATTTGGGGTCGATAACAATTGAAAAAAATATTAGGATACGGAAAAGTTTGGTGATTCAGATCCATGATAATAAAAAATTTGAATTGAAGATGAATGAAGAGGAGAAGAAGAGATGAAGATGTGTGGAGATGGTGGGATTTCAGATTAATTTATATGAATTTTTTTAGTATAGCCAACGGACCAATTTTTGGCTGTTGGCAATGATCGGCGAGAGAAACGAGAGGGCAATGCCCGTGATCGCCTACAAGCCATTCCCAAAACACCTTGGTCACGCCCGGCCTCTCATGGTGGTAACGTCGTGGTGGGGCGTTGCCGGCCAATCCACGGAGGCGGTAACGCCCCATAACACACGGTCTAACACATGACCTTACTATGTATTCTTTTGGTCTAATAGATTAAAAATGAATAACTTTGGACAAAAAAAATTATTTAATTTGGGACGAATAAAGTACACAGTGCATAATTTTTTTAACATATACTGGAGAGTTTATTTGTCTCAAATTAAATACTTTGACTTTTTATCCCAAAAATGTTCTTTTTGTAATCTCTTGGATTAAAAGATTACAAAATAAGGTCTTTTTAATAACGATGTCCATCAAATTTTCATCATTAATCTAATTTTCCTTTTCTGTAAAAGTACTTTTTAAAATATTTTTCTTTTTCCTATTTTTTATATTTTATTTTAATTTTGATTAGAATAAAAAATTTTATAAAAATAGTTTTAAAAACATATTAAAAAATATACACAATAAGAAAAAATGAGAGAAAAAAAGAAACCGAAAAATGGGAAATGAGCATCTGCGCAAAAAAATGAAGAATATAAAATAAGAAATTTTAAATAAGAGAAAAATTAATAAAAAATAGAAACGAAAAGAAGAACAAGATACAAAAAAACATATATTATAGAAAAGTGGAAATGAATTCATGAAACTCAGGATGGCAACGGGTTGGATTTGATCGAGTTATAGTATATTAAAACTCAATCCAACTTAAGTCGGATTCGGGTTTGATTTTTGCCGTCATGTTTAGATATTTATTTTTTCAATTAGGATTCGGTTTAAGATTTCATCGGGTCGGTTACAATCAAATTTGAATTGAAATACTAATAAATGAATTCATGATTAATTTATGAGAGAAATACTCCACAAAACATAAAGAAGTGCAATTAATATAAAAACATTCAAAGTATTTGCATAAAAAACACATGAAGTGTAGGGATTTAGAGTTTTTCAAAACTTAATTATAATCGGACATAAGTCTGGTCGTATCAGGTATGTATCCAGACCGTCAAATACTCCGTAATATATTAACCGAAATCTGACCCGACAAAGGTCTGGTTCGGTTAAAAAAATTTGAATCGGAATAGGAATTTTAATTTTTTGGTTTAGATTGGGATAATATGGGGCTCCGGTCAGGTCCGTAAGTGTTAGATTCGAGTAGAGTTGTCGTTCCTATCGGCTCTGTTAGCTTATTCACATATAATACATGTGTTATGAATCCATATGTATAATTCGTGTATTATATTTACGAATACGAATTTTTCATGTGACAAACATATAATACACGCATTTTTTACTCCAAACGTATTAACGAATTTTATACGTATTAAATAGAAAAAAATTCTTCTATTGACTCTAGCAATCAAATTTAGACGTTTAAATTTTGGATTGGATCAATTTACTTGATTATCTTCCTC